TCCGCGCCCGTTTTCTTCGAGAGAGATTGCGAGCGAGAGAGTGAGAGCCGGAGACAGAGAAAGTGACAGGGTGGTGTGGTCGTCGTCGGTGTGCTTAGGCCATTTCTTTCATATATATATATATATATATATATATATATATGATTTTTTTTCCTCTCGCCAAGAATTATTGTAAGCCTTTAAACGCACGACGAAACGTTATTCCCATAAACGTTATTGTACGACGTTTCCAAGTGTTTTGATACCTTTTCGCGTATGTATGTATGTGTGTATGTGTGTGAGAGTATGTATATATATATATGACGAGAGTATATATAATATATTTTATGTGCATGTGTGTATGTATGTAATCCTTTTGGTTAGATCTCGAAAAAATAACACACAAGTTTAAATTCCGACGAAATACCAGCACAACTTAGGCGTTTAAATGTTTAACAGAGGTCACTACTGCAGTATGTGTCTTGGAACGCCATGCCGATCGTCTTCCATCGGGGACAAAGTGTGGCGAGGTGTTATCGTCGGATGAAGAGATATAAGGTATGGAGACTGTCGACTAAACTAAACGAATAAAATATATGATCTTTATTTTATGTATGTGTTCGTTTGCTTGTGTGCATTTTCTTAAAAATACTACCCGCGTCTGAAATCCCAACAAAAAATACAATTTATTTTATCGCCATAAAAATGTTTTCATTCATTTTTTTTTTTTTTTTTTATTATTACTTATTATTGTCAACCACAGCGACAGCAGTAGTATTTATTGTGAAAACATAACGTATGCCAGTCGTTTAAACATATTAGGTATTAAAAATTAAATATATAAATATATATTAAATATATTTGGTGAATCAATGTTTTTAAAAGTGATTAAAGAACCTTGATAAAGTATAATAACCTTATAACAAGGCTCTTTTTACAGTTTATACTTTCGTCGTTGTCACTTTTTATCACTATTCAAGAGCGGCTTTGATTGGGGTTTAAAAGGTATCGGTAAGATCCCAGCACCTCTATAGAAATTATATCAAGTTTTCTGATGGATTTTTTGCTGCAATGAGGACTACACGATCGGGAAAATATTAGAAAATAATTTTCCACACTTGTAAATGTATGGATATTATAGGTATTATAATATTATTTAACATCCATGTCTGCTCAAAATATAAGAAAACAAAATAACAATGATGAATGAACAATAAACAAGAAAAAAATGAAAAGATACCGACAATTTTAGATTCTGAGTGGAACAATGAATGTATTGATTTTACAATGATGTATGTTTTTTTATTTTTTTTTTTATTTTTGTGTCTGTCACCACCTTTTAGGACATTTAAACGGCTAGGATTTTCTTCAACAGTATCTTTTCTGATAGGAAAGTGAATCTATTTGGTAGTTTGGGGGGTAAAAAGTAAAATTTTTCCAGTAGCTTACAAAAGCGCCGTGAAAAACAAAAAAAAAATTAAGGAAAACGGGAATTTTTATGCAAAATCTGTTTTCAAGAAAATCGATTTTGGTTTTTGGTGTAACTCTTAAACAAATGATCGTAGCTTACATGCAATTTTAGACTGACTGTTTATATTAGCATTTTCTATACACCATAACATTATACAAATATTTTATCGTAAAATTTTTTCTTTTTAAATCTATGATTTTAAAATGTAATACAAGATTCCTTATAAGATTATCTACCTTTATCAAAAAAAAAAATGTCCATAAGATAGTCAAATTAAATTTTTTGGTTGAAATTCAAATGTTTACAACATTGGATATTCACTCGATTTCTCATGTAGCGATTTCTTTATTTTGTTGTAATTAAAAAACGAATAACTGTAGATACATGAAAATTTCACCAAATGTTTATATTAGCATTTTCTATACACCATACAAGTTTGAAAATATTTTGACTGTTTTTGAGCTGTTTACGGACATTTTCAGTTTTAAATTTTTTTAGTTTTTTTTTCTATAACTATCAATAAAGTTTTATCTGTGGGGCCAAAAAGAGTAAAAATGTAATACAAGGATCCTGGTATATTGTTACAATATCAGTTGAAAAATACTAAAAAAACATAGGCACAATTTTTATAAGTATTTAAAGATCGAGTTTTGACAAAATTTATCAAATTTAAAATTGAATAATTATTTTGTAGGTAAAAATGTATAAAATGTTCAACTTTTATATCTAAGGATTGAAAATTTAAAACATGCAAGCTTTCATGTAAGTAGTTAATTCTGTTACCAAAATATCTAAAAACTACATAAGCACAGTTTATTTTTATAGTCATTTTAAGTTCAACTTTGGACGAAATTACATAAAAAAAACCTAGAATAACTATTTAATTACTATTTAGTTGTGATTGTATAATATTATTCGTGCGTACTTGAAACTACCCTATAAAAGTACCCTATTATATATCTATGGACTATGATAGTATCAGGGTTTGTTGTTGATGTATGACGCATTATAAGTACCTAATGGATATTGTGATATGATTAATTTGGAATTTATTATAGGTACCTATTATAGGTCAATTTTTTGTTTAATACCATAGATATGTATAAAATATGTCTTATACCTAGACTGACATACCGTCTCCGCTCAGAATAGTTTTTTTTATACAATGATATTATATCTTTGCCGAATTATTCGGAGTATTTCGATATATAAAAACAAAGTTTTACACAAGTTTAATTTATTAAATATTAGGTACTTGATTTAAATTTATAGAAAAAGGTTGTTTTTTATCGACTTAAAGTTATGTATAAAAAATAATTGCAAGAACTTTATGGTTTAGAAATAATTAGTGTCTTAAGTTAAAATTAATATTTAATATCGAATTGTCGTCCATCGTGTGTACTCACGTCTCACATTGAACTGGTTATAAAGATATTTTATTTTCATTGGTAATAACTAATTTATTACGCCCTAGTGGGCTCAGTACAAGTTCTTACAACATAATATATTAATTAGCTAAAATAATTATACAATGTACCTACCTACATAATATTAATAACAATACAAGCAAAACGAACACCACTGAGATTGAAGAGACTTTAAATGAAAAAGTCATATTCTAAAATAGAACAAACTAGATAAAAATATAAATTTAATAATTATTTAGCAATTCGGAGAAATGCAAATCCACGGAGATCGATATTACATGTATAATCATTCTTTCCATGATATAACCAAGGCTGGGCATTAACGAGTTAATAAGTTAAAGTTAAGCTAAAAAGTTAAGTTACTTTTAAATAAGTTAAATAACGAGTTACTTTTTTTTTAAAAGTAACTTCTAACTTAACGATTTACATTTTTCCCCATGTTATTCAGTAACTTAACGAGTTAATTAATTGTATTGGCACGTTAAGTTAATTTTTTCCCAAACCACATATTATTAAAAATTAATTACATACAAAAAAAAAACCCGAAATATTAAATATATTTTATTAAATAATAATTTATAATAATAGTAAGTTTTTATATTGCATATTCACAGAAAATATTTTATAACTATATTATAGAGGGAAATATCATAGGGGTAACCGCGTCAAAGAAAAATATAACAATTTACTCAGTACCTAACCTATACCTAATCATTATTAATATCATTACTTATTATTATATTTTTATTCATTCATAGAATTACGATGATAACTTGGCCCGTCGATGTAAATAATACCCGTAGTAGTGTGGTATTTACTATTTACTATTTACCTAATTAAAGTATAATACACAAAATTAATATAAGTACCTACAGTAACTAATTTTATTACAAACATTTATTCAAATATTGTAAGACATTTTTTGATTTACTGAATTATTATGTTATTTGTTAGCTTTAAAAAAGGTAGGTAGGTAGGTATAATTGTTAATTTTATTTAAAAAAAAAAAGTAACTTATCTTTAACTAAGTTAAGTTACTTTTATTTTCTAATTAACTTGTAACTTTAACAAGTTAAAAAAAAAATGAAGTTAACTTTTAACTTTAAGCTTAACTTACATTTTTCTATATTAACTTAACTTAACGAGTTATAAAAAATAGTTAACTTGCCCAGCCTTGGATATAACACTGTTTTTCGTTTTTTCGATGTAGGTACCTTGTTGATAACATTTTCTTCTTTAGTCAAAAAGCTTGATAATTCAATAGGTACAAACTTCCTCGTGAGATTTTACACTGGTTAAAAAGAAACCTTAAGTACACCTGAACGAATTACATAGATTGTCTACAAGCATTTATTAATTTTACACAATAGCGTGTTGACATGTTTATTAATAATATTATCAAATGAAAACCAAACATTATATGACGTAATAGATACACAATTTTATTCAAGTTAATTTGCATATAAAATTATTTACATATTATACAATTATTATTTATTACAATAGCCATAATTTATAATTATAATTTAGATGGGCATACATTTTTTACAAAAAAATGTTTCCCCTGTTCGGGGTTAGAATTATTAGATTATACACCAACTTCAACTCATATCGTTATAGGTGAATAAGGTGATAGCCGAGGGCAGCAGTAACCGATAGTATACATCGGTGATAACCACAGCGGATCTATGACAAACGATCGGAACGGAGTGATACAGTTTATATGGTTATATTACGATTATTTGGCACCGGATTTTAGACGTCCCCCCCCCCCCGTTAAAGAGCTCTTGTCGTCGCGTTCGCAAAGCACTTTTTTTTAGTAATAGTCAAATTAAACGTTGCACCTTTTCACTTTATATTGTATACAAAATATATTATTATTATGTATTATTATTTTGTATTTTTATCGTATCCAAAATAGTGAAAACCGTATCATTTACCATATAAGCCGCAAGTCGGCTTCTACCTTTTGTAACCTTAGCAAAGACGACGAGACTACGGATAACGACGTCTCAATCCCACAATCTTCTACAGGGGCTGCTGCAGGTGTCATCAACGCAGCAATAGACGTGTACCGGACACGGTGAATCGATGGTAACTGCAGGCAACTCCGGGGACGTGACTTACGGCCATCCAATTTCGGGTGCATCGCCACTGAATTTTTCACCCGCGGCCATATTGGGCAATGACACAGCTGATCTCTTGCAGTGCACCGGCAGACCATGGAAATCGCAGTTTTCCAAAGGTTTCTGTCCGTTTTCCCTGATATCGTCGACAGCTGGCAGTATTATATTGGGAGTAGACTTGCACCCGGTCTCTAGTAGTGCTTCAGCTGCAGAATTTTTCGGCAAGACCATGTTAGGACACGACAAAGCCCTTTCGTGCAACGGCAAACTAAAGAAACCGCCGATTTCTGACGGCTTCTGTTTACTTTCCTGGATATTGTCGACAGCAGGTAAGTTATAGGCATTGACTTCCATCCGAACTCTGTTACTTTGGCTGCACAATTTGTCCACAAGGCCATGTTAGGTAAAGACATAAACCGTCTGTGAACCGGCGAGCTATTGAAATCGCAACCATATAACTTTATCGGGCTGTTTGACCAAAGATCGTCAAAAACCATTTGCATAATTTCGTTCTAGGACAGTTTCTGGTTAACGGACGAAGCTGCACTATTTGACATGTTGGTATTATGATAAGCGTTGCATAAACTGATTATAAATTATAATAATATGAAAATACTATTTAACTTTTAGACGAAAGTAGGTCAATTTATTCGTAATGTTCCCAAGACGTAACAAATTAATACTGGGGAGTAATTACTGTGACACAGAAACGAATAATACATTTTCCAAACACTTATGCACTTGGTAATAACAAGATGTTTGTTGATTTTGTAAAACTGAATGTATCTTTTTTTTTACAATACATAGGTACAAGTACCTATTTGATAAATTTTATCAAATTATCAGTTGATAGTTGTTTAATTTCATTTTTCATTCATCAATCATCACCAATAATTCAAGTTAGTTACCTACCTACCTACTTAATAATTAATTTATATAATGCATAAATAAACAGTAATATCAATTATAATTCAGTTCGAAAGGCGCCGTTCTTATACCCACAAGAATTAAATTAGAACAGAACTACCGTTGTAGACTGTGCAAGTTTTCGGAGTGAAGTTAATAGGGGAAATAATGTCCAAATTAGCAAACAAAATTAAAACTATCTGAAATAATATGCCAAGTGCCAATTTGTCAGTCATCAAACAGAACATCGTTGGTAGTCTACACAGGAAACCTTAGACATCAACAAAAAGTGTACCTACTTTATGTTGATATAACTCTGTGGTTATCGCGTGATATTTAAGTTCTTTTCAAGCATTATCTCTTCGAGTGGGTCAAAAGTAACAGCTGAAACGAATGAAAACGGAGCAGGAGCGTTGTCCATGGTGCAAGTTTCCGGTATGATTCTAGAGATTGGAAAGACAGAGCGGAATTATCACTGTGCTACCAAAAATCACATGAAAAACTTCTTCTCAACCATCACGTGGGAGATGATGAGTCTGTGACCGTGCTCAAGGACAGTCTGGCGTTTTCAGACGAACATGGTTTGTTTCCATTATCACACATACTATATAGTATATATACAGTCAGGAATTTTACAATTATGAGGAACATGGATATTTTCCAGACTCAATCCCGGTGAAGTCATAGCTAAAGAGCTGATTGTTTGGATGAGACACCGGGTTGGTAACAAAACAACGCCCTATGTGATGATAATATACAGTTGTCAGTTTTAATGGGATATGCAATTATTGTAGTAGAACAATTAGTTCTTATATAATACCATGAGTTGTACTTATGTCGTAACATATTAAATTAAAGTATTTATAACATTATGTTTTGTATATTATCTGTATAATAATTAATAGTATACCAAATAAATATGACTCACTCCCACAAAGTGGTAGATATGTATGTGGAGCTGCTTCTAAATCGCGTGCCAAATCTCTAATTTAGGTCGAATTTCATACGAGTTTTTTAAAAGGTTATTAAATCATACAATACTGTAAGATAGGATTCCCACTTACTCAGACTTGAGACTTGTCAGTAGTCAGCAAGGTAAAAAAGTTTAAATGGTGTGTTTTAGAATTGTACACATTAAATTATACATACATACTAATATGTAATGACTAATGATTAAACATAGTGTGTTAACATATAAATGCATAATAATTATAATATACATACTTTTATATAGGTAAGTGTTTTTGAAAGGAAGTTTATTGTTATAAAATTAATTTTCGGTAAAAATGTGAATCTAATTTATCAACGAACTCAAGCCATGATTATTGTCAATCTATGTATTTTTTATTCAATTCATTTTATCCATTATCCAAATCAGTTTATCAATAATTTATTAAAACGAATTACGCTATCGTAACTAATTGGTAAATATATTACTTTATTCACAATAATAATATCATCAATAAATTATAATTGGTGTTGGTAATATCATAGGCTGACTGACAGTCTTCGCTCAGAATCGTTTTTCGTATACAATGATATTATGATATTATAATTATATTATATCATTGAAGAAATTTAATTCAAATTTGACACCATCCTAATGTGACCCGCTAGTAACCTACTATACAGCAGAGCGACACCCACTTGCCTACTTTTTTTTATTTGTTTTTCCCGATGCTTTCAAAAACTACTTAAAATCTAAAATACATTTTATCCATAGGTACCTATCATATTTAAATATGGATGTAATTAATATTCAATACGCTCAAAAACCACTTTTCAATAAAAGTTATATTAGTAACTAAAGGATTCGCTGCCCGTAGTCTACAGGTATAATACTCTGCAAATCTACTATTCTAAAAATATTGTCTTTAAAATCAAAACGTACTAACAAAAATAAATTACTGATATTCAATTAAAATGTGTTGTATATCGTGACAACGGTGATAATCATTGTATGACTGCAATAATAAATGCAGTATGAAAAATATTCCTAATTAATTTTGTTCTCTAGAACGCACGTATGAACACGTTCTTCATTGATTTTTATAAATTTATATTACCTCTTTCTTCCGTTTTTCTAACAATCCACTGGAAATTCGAACAATTACTTTTTTAAATTACTATCCGAAATATATAATCTTTGTTCAATTTCTTAAAATGTTGCAATGTGTATGAATAGAGTAATATGTTTATAAGTTACCTCATAATTCGTTTTTCATACTTATGCCATTTAGCGGAAATATTACGTTTATTGATTACAGGATTTTGCTGAAATATTATTAAATTGCACATAAAGAATTTTTATTTTTTCCCCATATGCATATAACGCAATAACATTACATTATAGAATCTTTTATGGCGATTAAGTTTAGATATAAACATAAATATTGCGGAAAATGGAAGTTTGGGACTAATAGTACCCACCTCGCCCGTTTTTATTTATGCAGTTAAACCCTCTGATTTACCTGTTTTACTTTAGATTTTATTAAACGCCGAAGTGAATTCAGAAGTATATTTAATATTGGTCTAGTTTATGAAAGTCCCCATCGTAATTCTATCCAAAGTTCATATAAAGTATATATTATTCTAAGCAATTTTGTGATTCATAAATTCGTATCAGTTTAGTACCAGATGGTATAATATATAATCTTACAAAAATAACTTTGATCCACCTTTAACATAACTCTTTTCTTGTATCGATAGTAAATAAGTGCTATTTCTTATTATTTTATCACTAATTCATAAGTTATCTTTTTCTTTGCCGTTCCCGTTCAACATTTATTTTTTGATTGTTCATGTTTGACTTTCTAAATTCATTTACAGGAAAAAAATATATTTACTAAACATAAAATAGCTTATACCGACTTAAGGTCAATAACTAGGAGAAGACAACAATATGTATCTTACCTTAGTTAAGTATTTAATAATTTTATATTTTATATTGTTAGAGCAATAGAGCATATTACACTAAAGAAAATATATTTTTCAAAATCCTAGAGTAAGAACTCAGACATAAATAATCAAAAAACCGTAAAATACATAAAATATTTACAGATCAATGAAAGTTCGTTAATTTCTTAAAAAAAAATCAGATCCAATTTACTTAAGTTACCATAATCGTTTATTGACAAACAACACAAGCATAATAACTTATTTACAGACTCCGTTTTGTGTTAGTTATTCCATCTACCCATAAATGGGTAGAAAACACATCATTTTTACATAATATTAAAATTAAAGAATAAAAACATAGAATAGATGTGTATTAAGTAAAACAACATTGTTTCTTAAAAATCAGACTTAAATACGTAATATTAATAAATAATTAGTTTGAATTCCATGGAGACTAGTGATATACCTATCTACTCGTTAACTACGCTTGATTATTCTTAATCTTGTTCTGAACATTGAAATGGACGTAATATGTTTTAATAATAACTGTCGTTATGAAGAAATTTTTTTTAGTTAGATAGGTGTGCGAATTAGGTTATAATGACTTGTAAACTATCACATTATACGGTCCATTGTTTAAAATACATAAGTGGCATAACTTTGACACTTAGTATGATCTAGTAAAAATGTTCATATCAGAACGCTGATCAGGTGTGTGCCTGGATATCGCCCTCCACCCCCCTCCCATAAGTCGTGAGATGTTGTGTTTTGACATTTTATAAATTTTGTTAATTGTTAAAAGCGGTATTCAAGACTAAAATGTTCCCCCCGCCCTCCCCCCATGGAATTGACCTGAAGACGCCCCTAACTCGGACTATTATAATAATAACACATAAAGCAGGATTATATTATGTAAATATAAGAAAGTACCTGGTACCTATATATATAGATAAGATAAGATTTAAACGTTATTTTATATTATAATTATAATTATATTATTAAATTAGATATACCAAATGCTATTTAAACTTAATAACATTTGTAATGCCTGCTTATAATTATTAATTGGTCATACCTAACTGCAGACTTTTTTATATTATACCTATACCTATTACCGGGCTACACTCTATGTATATAATAGTATACAATGTCCATGTTTAGCAATCTAAAGTCTTACCTGACCGTGTAAGGTATCAGCATTTCGCACTTTTAATGTTCTAGGTACCATATACAAAGTGACCTAGAACATAGTGATAAATGATAATACGCGGGTGACAGTTACCTATATGCTCCGCTGACCGCTGCAATACATATACCATTACATAAGCTCAGTCCAGAGCTGGGCCGATTGCCTGGCAAGGTGGCGCCTGCCAGGGGGGCACAACATATCGAATGAGTGGAGGAATGTAAAATCCACAAATTGTTGAGAATAATGGGGCGCAAATTTCCAGGAGCGCTACTTTTGCTCTGCCCGGCTCTGAGGCCGACCGATACCTTATGCGTGAGTGTGTGTGGTGTTTAATAGCTCGAACAAATTTCGCCGGGAAAAT